GTCATAACAGGAACGGGAATGCTTGAATATTATTAGTAGTGCCATTTGTCTAAGATACTTGAACTAATTTAGCGAATGTCTATTAGGACTGTAGTTGCCGTATTGATTCCATATTATGATTGCAATTTCACGTCTCTTAGTTAACAATAATGCCACTTAAGAGTCTGATTCCTTTATAAAACTGCTCTGAACTTGTCGAAAAACTATTTAATCATAGCTACAACCACACTAGAAAAGCTGAATTATATATATATATATATATTGTCGGCGGCAAAATTAAATAAGAGTAAGTGTAAGATGAATAACTCGACAACAGCAATAGCTAGCGATCTGCGATTTTCACTAATTGGAAGTGGAGAGATGGGCATATACCCTCTCTCTCTCCAGGATGTATAATGCGAAATTGTTTTAAAATTGATTATCTTTGAAAAAAATACAAGATAAAGTATGAATGTGACTTCCCATCAAGATGAAAATTTGATTTTGACCCCTATTTGGATAGAGGAACTTTAGATCCATAGTTCAAGATACAATGCAAATAATTTTATTCTTACATTTGAATGTTGAGCAAATAGAATTATATACTAACATGCACCAATAATAAGAAATTTTGCTGACGTTTTACTAGGTTTTCGAACTTTTTATGATAACAGCTTGACATTATGATGAAAATGCAATGAAATATAAGAAAGTATTTTGTATCTTTAACTGTACATCTAAAGTCCCTCTATCTAAATCAGAGGTCAAAATCGAAATGCCATCGAGATGGAAAATCACTCTCATGCCTATATTTTGAATATTTTTCGAAGACAATCAGTTTTAAAAGGATTTCGTCTTATATATTGTCGAGAGAAAGTATATGCTCATATTTGTTGTTCTATTGGTGAAAATCACAGATCGCTAGATGTTGGAGTTGTCGAACCATTCGGCTTATACTCAATCCTCTTTAATTCTGATGCCGACAATAGGATCGAACATCAGAATATCTCTTTATAGTGAGTAAAAAGAACGAAGCTTCGCAGTGAACATCGCGAAAATAGATCCAAAAAATTCTTCTAAGGAGCAGAAATGCACCAATTTCAAATAGGGTGGATGAATGTTGATTTCAAAAAGAATCACAATCATTCACACCCACATTCTCAATAAAGCAGGATAACTTCAACAAAGTCGGCGTGCCTTTACCATAGCAACGATACCTATAGTTTGGTGTTATTCAATCATGCTGCGTAAATTAACTGTAAACGTACAAGAGTCATGGCTATTTTTACAGGAATATTCTTTTTTGTTTTCGTTGGTATCGTAAAAAAGACATTTTGGTCGATAATTTATTGAAAAATGATTAATCAAAATAGAATTCTGATTCCCTTTTTCATGTAAAACATAGTTGAAATGAACTAGTGACATTTTGTTCTAGTCTCGTTTTCATACTCAAGTATATAAGTGTTTTTATTTTCATTATTTTCTTCATCCTTACAAGTAGAGACTCACAGAACGAAAGCATCAAATAAGTTCAAATATTGTTAACTAGCACTAATTACCATCTATTGATGACAGTTTTTCTTCTTTCTAGAGGTCGGAAGATTTTTCCCTTAAGTTATTGTTTATTTTTCATTACAAAAAGTTAATTATAGGTTTTGGCTTGGATTAATATCAAGTCGAATGAACTTTCTCAAGCGTCCATAATAGCTCTCAACTTTTCGGAAGGCTTTCATCAAATTATAGTATTTGTAGTGGAGGATTCTACTGTAATCAATAATGGGAAAATATCATTTGCTACAGGCAGTCATCAACTGATAGTCACAGTCACTGACGAGCAGCATAATCGAATAATAGATGCGTTTGTTAGAATTGAACTCGTCGATCACCCAGATATATATGTGCAACAACTAACAAATCGTTCAGGTCAAGTTTTGTTTCGGCATTTGCCTTCGGAATCTCAACTTTTTATAGAAGCATTTAGTGTTGCTTCGAAGCGTTTCGTCGATGAAAAACTTATTTTAGTATCGAATGATTTTAACATGGTTCAGCGAATAACATTAATACTTCATAAAACAAATGAGCAAAACATGAAAATGTTCGACGACGAGTATCAAGACCCACTAGACCAAGGATATTACGCTGTTTAGTTATCTTTGCTGTTTTTTGATCTAACTTAATTTTTTAACCAAAGAACGCATAAGAATATTCCGTTGGCTTCCGATAAATAATAATCTTTTTCATTGTTCATTATATTTTGCTATAAATGTCTTGCATATCATCATTTATTAATGTAGCTGCTTTCTTATCAAGTACGATATATAGGCAAATAATATCGTCAACTGAAGATATTTGTTTATTTTTGTTCGGACAATGTATATGACGAACTTGCAAATCAACCGTTAACGGCTAGCGTAACCAAACACTGACCGTAAACACCAGCAGTTTACGATACTGCGACCGTTTACCATGATCGAAAACAATGAAATATCACAGCGGCCATTCATGACCGTCGTATCAATATGTTGACGGTAAACAGGTGCACAATAAATAACTACGATGTGCGAACACAGTATACGTCACTAGATGCATCATGAAGCAATCCCAAGAAACCGCATAGTAGATAATACATGTGTCGACCTACGATTGGTCCCAACATGATTAATATGTGTTCTTATAATAAGTGAGAAAAGTCCTTCAGAAATTCGATCCGTCTCTTTTATTGGCCAATGGAAACCCAGGATTCGATATCTCTTTGAAGGACTCAGAGGGGACCGAAACGTATACCCATCAATCGATAGAGCATCCGCAACAACTATAGGATTGACCCGAACATGACTAGTACATATCCTTATAGGAAGAGAGAAATGTCCTCCTTAAATTTGACTGGTCCTTTTTATTGTCCAATGAAGACCTGGAATTTGATTTCTGCATGAAGGAGCGCAAGGGGTGCGACCCGTCTGCTAATCTATCGATACAGGTTCGCTGAGAACCGTAGGTTTGGCCCGAAGATGATCAGTGAATACGACTATAGGTGTGTTGAGAAGTCATGGGAAAAAGACGATTACATTTTTATTATATTGTAGTGTCGTGGACAGCTGTGGGTAGTATATCGTTATGTGAATCTAAAATGGGTCAGGGATATATATGGTGTAGATGCGGAAGTGTACAGACGTGTTGCGTGATAATCGGTTGTATACAGTCGTTTCTGGTTGCCGTACTGCTCGATCATGGTAGTCTTGTATAACTTAATATTGATCAATGATTCAACACCCTAATCTGTATACGAGGATATTCCCATTTGATGAACACATGGGTCCTATAAAAGCATCCTTCTGTAATGAACTGTTCAGACACTCAGGTTAGTTTTTGAGGAGAGTACTGTTTGTATTATCTGTCTTCCTAATTGCATCTTTTGTTACTACCTGTAGCATTGCTCCGCTTTTTAAAATTATTTATCGAGACTCTCGAAGGAACTTCAACAAGTAACAAATCACTTTTGAGATGAATCGTGTAATACTACATAGAATTCATTCAGACTAGATTTAGGTGTTTCTATTTCAGTTGTAAGCATTTTGCTTAGCTTTACAACCAAATATTCTGAACTCATCCGATGACAATACAGATGATTTCTGAATGTCAAACTCGAATGTAGAAGTAAGATTATTTCTTGACTAGTTGATTGTAAAAGCTAGTTTTTTACTATGCCTCATTTCCACTTAGACGAATATTTAAACTTGTATACCAATGAACGAGTTTTATTAAATTGCCTCCTAAGAAAAATGATTTCTGAAAAGTCTACAATTTGTAAAGTCGTTCCTTTTGAAGTTTTTTGAAACTCCATAGAATAATGAACAAACATATGAAATCAAAAGCACAACTGCTGTTAGTTATCAATCAGTTGTGTGGACGGATTCGTCGTACGAGCGTAATAGAGATAAAAAGATCATGTCGCTGATGTCGAGCAGAAGGGTTACGATCACCTTGATTAACTCTAAAACCTATCAGACAGAGAATAGAAAATCTCATGCATCATTTTATCGTATCAATAAAAACTGCGTTTTTATCAAAATATTTCGCCCCAATAATGTAGAATAATGAATTATTTAAGTGCTGTTCGCTTACAAGTTTATTTAGATTATTAAAATCCATTGAATTAATGCTCATCAATGAAATACAAATTGTACTTCTTCGTATTCATAATCATTAGTATTGTAATGGTAACACCAATCTACTTTTTTTTCTTCTACGATTGCAAGGCTACACAAGTTCGTGATAGAACAAAACCGATAAAAATGTTGGCAACCACTTCAGTCTTGAATAAACTGTCCTGGTCATTGGCAAACCGCAATGAAATACGGTGGAAGAAATTACATCGGAAATATAATGAAATGGTGAATTTGGCATCTTTTACTCAACCAAAGGCTGAGAAAACTATGATATACTTCTGCAACTCCACGTGCCATGGATGGGCAGATCGACTTAGGGGTATGATATCAGTTTATATGCTAGCACTTGTAACTCAACGACGCTTCATGATTAGCATGGACTTTCCTTGTTCGATTTCGAGAGTCTTGGAACCCAACTTCGTTAATTGGACTTTTGTAAGACCAAAAAATGGCTCTAATAAAAATCGCGCACAGCTTACTATTAATTCAATGCCTCTTTATCCGCCAACAATTCAGAAGAACATGGCGCAAACAATCGAGTCAAAGAACTTCATAGCTCTCTGGGAACCCTATGATGATGTTTGAATATCGACAAACGGAGTGTATGTTTCAGGAGCATTGAGAAATCCATTTGTTAATTCATCACGTCTACTTGGTCGATTACCTTTGACGAAGGCCACGCAACAGCTACTTTTTCCATTCCTGTTTGAATTACTTTTTAAACCAACGCACGTTGTATCTCAAGGCGTAGAAAAAATACTGCGCATCTAACACAAACAATTAACTTGCCTTCATATCAGAATAGGAAGAAATTCTTCCAACCCACACGATCCAGTAAAACCAACACGAATCAATATGACACGGAAGATGTTCGATTTTCTATATGATAATCCCTGTCTTGCATGGACTGAAGACACTCTAATTTTCATCAGTTCCGATAGTGATCAGGCCGTTAAAGAAGTACTTCAATACTTTCCTAATTCATCTATTACTGTGCCCGGTCCAATCATGCATATTGATCATGTTAATAAAAAACAAGCACGTAAACAAGACAGGGAGAAGAATTGTGCTGGTTTGATAAAGGTTCTCACTGATTTTTATGTTCTTGGCGAATGTCAAGCAACTCTACTTTCATATAGCGGCTTTTCAATCTGGGCTAGTCAACGAAGGATGAATCCTAATGGTAAAATTTTCATATATGATGATCGATTAGGTAAAATAAAAAGAGCTAAAATGTGATGACGTCGATTTTACGTTAAGTTTAATTTATCCCGCTACGCCTTTTCAGATTCGAGAAAAAATGTCTCTCAATTGTTTTTAGAATTTGACCGAATCATCAATTCATCAGAAAAAATTATATGAGCGTATGAGTGAGGGTAGGTGTGAGGTGTGTGGGACGTGGGTTTAGATTCATATTAGGGTGCGGGTGTGGGTGGGTTTGAGTATGAGATAAGACGTGTAAACCCCGACTCACACCCACAGTCAAACAGACACCCACCCCACATCCAGACTCACAAACAAGCACATTCATACCCCACCACACATCTACACCAACACGCACACCCACACCCACACCCACACCCACACCCACGTAAAAGAGTTTCTACAAAAACAATCTGATTTTTGTTGGCTAACACAACAATTTGATCGTACAGTTGTTTCAGATCATTTTCAAACTTTAGTTGTACATTCAACTTTTTCCGTCAACTTAGATCAAAGTGATTTTGAATATTACATTGATATGACATTTAACAATTTTTTAGAAGATCTCAGAGCAAGAATGAAGAATTTATATCAGAAAAGTCGTCAAAATCCTATATCGGAAGATACCACATTTGCTGATCATCAGGATGGTACAGTATCAGCGACACTGGTACAAATTTTATCTCAAAAGAACGATCGTAATGAATTGGAAATGCTTGTTGGCTCGGTTTCTCTTACTCGACGTCCATCACAAGATTCTTATTTATGTTGTTCACATTGGGAACAACATAAAGAGCAAGTTAAAACAGCTTTACAATATATCTATGGAAAAGAAACAGAAAAAGAACTAACCCAGGAACAAAAAAAAATAACTATTGCACTATGTTAAAGACATGTTTTGCACAAGCTTTTCTGTTCTCATTAACATATATAAAAACCTTGCAACATGTTCTATTCGTATCAAGAACATGCATTCATTAATTCTTTTTCTATGTTGAATAACATTAGTTATCAGTATCGCTAACTTTGTTCCAGAAACCATTTTAATTCATTAATAGAGACTGTGAACAACATTCAAGAGTTGAAAAAATTCTCTCTCCAATAAAGTAACAAAAATCGTCTGTATGATGAACATTTCATAGAGCAAAGTATCAAGACAATGAAAAGCGGAAAATTATTTCCATATCCTTCATTTCGATTTGAAATAATAAAACAATGATTTGCAATTATATTACTATAGATAGAAATTTAAACAAGATTTGGTGAGCTTCTCATACATGACTTACCGAGAATTTCATCAGTCCAAATCAGCACATTTAATTGATTGAAATAAAAAGTAAAAGATGTATCATGGAAGTACTGGAATAATCTTTCTAATTTACAGGGTTATCGTCGTGACTAACTTTTTAAATGAGTCACAATTTGTACTAGAAACAATATCCTATAATGAATGTTTGTTTAGATCGTAACTTAATGTCTTATTAGTAGCGTCCATGCTAGGTAGTAACTTATTTATTGTGGACGTGAGTGTGTATGAAGAGAAAAAGAACATACACACCCACATCACCCTGTTCATTTACATCCTTCGTGAAACCACATTACGAACACGATCAAGAATAGACTTCATTTTTCTGTTTTTTATTCTACCTAATACAACAATGCTTAAAGTTTTTTGTCTTATGTCTCATTAATCAATAGTGACGTAATCAAGGGGTGACTAGGGGAGGCTGAATCTTTCCACCGGAGCTTTGAGCTTCCCCACACGCAATAAAGCCACTTCAGCTGCAGTCCACTACGAGTCCTCCAGTAACCAGAGCCCAACTAGTCAATCTCACTTACCGACAAAATTATGGTTAGATTATTATCGATCAAGTAAATATATGTTTTTTGTGTACATTTTTATGGCCGATTGTCGTATGTGCTAAATTGTCCTTTGTCTATCGAGTTTTATTATTCAGTATCGATTATTATTTCACTCGAAGTTAAGGTGTATAAATAAAAATTTAGATATTATTTTATTGTGCACAAGATTTGAGTAAAATAATAACTCTTAGTTGTTGTATTCAACTGTCTAAAATTTCCATATTGAATTTATAATACATGTGAGTCATTGATAATCAGCAGTTCACTTGATTAAAAAGTGCGAACCAATAGAAATGGTTCAATTCAATTTGTATATGATACAGAAAACATCAAAAGATTTAAAATAGTTTTTAAATTGCTAATAATCTATATTTGTCTAAGTAAAATATCAACCCTCATCACGACATACACTAAGGACACTGCAGTTTAACGTCATGTATTTTTAATCATGTTATTCGAAAAACAAAATTTCCCTTCAAGAAATGGTTTGTCAATCATTTTTAGTAATTCAAAATATTCTGACCTCAAATACAATAGTAAACAGTATTAAAGATGTGAGGTATGTCAAGATCGTCAACAATATGGTAAACAAACCCGAGAGACAACTAATCAAGAGATGAAGAGATCGTGGCTGACTTCAATATTATGTTCTTCGAAAGTTGTATTTTGTTGGAATAATTATATATTTTCTCCCTCAATATGTGTTTGTTCCCTATGTAGCATACATGCTTTTTGTAATTGCACAACAATAATGCTAAGAATGAAATTGCATATAGTCATGGCTTTCTTTTTCTTTTCGAATGACAATGATTCACTGTATGTGTAAACGAAAAGAAAAAAAATATTCATATCGTGTCAGTCAGGAATCGAACCTGAGTCTGCTGTTCGACAAACAGCTATGATACCATTACACCACAGACACTTGGTATGAATTATAATGAGAAACTTAATCAACTTTGCTTCGAAAACATTTCATCAATTGTGATACATTCTAACATAATGCGTGAATAAGAATACATCATTCGACTTCTTTCTTGCATGTTTCCTCTATTAAGGTACAATTCTAATATTATCAAGTTTGCTAAATTTATCAAAAATCTCGACTAACAATCTCTTCTTCGAATTAAGATAGGCAAAGGATAACATAACATCCTTTATTGTAAAATTTCATACCGTTGTGTTCACCACTTTCAGGTAATCACAGTTCAATCTGTCAATTTTTTTTTACAATCTGAAAATGACACGTGTAACCGTTAATAGCATAATACATGAGTGAAAAATGTTTCTTTTGTTTTATTCTCGTTCGTCATTGTGACATAAATGATAGTCAATCTTTCCTTGCCTGCGTTATATTTGTATTATATAAGTGTGAGTGTGAGTGTGGATTTCGTTCATATAAACACCCACACCCTCCAAAAACTATACTTCTTCCATCAATAATAGATAAATATTGAGACCAATTTATCAGGAAAAAGGAAATTTAAAGGTGTTACAATACTTTAATGAGGGAGTGAAAATCTATTCGATGATTAGAAGTAATTGTACTCACAAAATTTATCTTTTCAATGGAATAATAGTCATTATATTAGCTGATTATGATTTTAATTTTGTAACATTCTTAATATTCCTAAATGTATTCATATTAACAAACTCACGTTTCGAAAGTTTCCTGTTTTGGAATTTGTTGTCTAATATTCTACTCGCTTGGATATATTTTTCGACAATTTTTGCAGCTTTAATTAAAATTATCTTTGTGTTCTTTTTAAAATTCAATAGAAGATGCTAGATAAATGAATATTATTCCATTGAATTGGTAAGTCTCCTATAAAATGCTTGTGGGGTTAAAAGACGTACTGTTATTATGAAAAAGAATTCAAAATTGATAAAATACCAAAATATTGATGTATTTCAAAGTGTATTCCTATTAGATAAAGCTCTCTCTCTTTTCCTCCGTTAAATCATATATTTCGATCAATTATCATTAATTTACTGATAGAAGTCGAAACTTTTCAATTGCCTTTTATTATGTCCAAAAACTATATAAATGCGATAGAGAAAAATAAATCTTTTGTAGAACTTTAAAAGATCTTTGACAAAAAAAAATAGAAGAGGCAGATCAAACAATTTGACTTAGTCATTAATAGATAATCAGATCAATGTGAAGGATTTGTTACTCTCCTAACTCTCTCCTCAACCGATGATTTACTTCGAAGATATCGATATCAAATGCTATCAAAATTTGATGCTTTTTTTAAGAAAAAAGCTATTTGACCAAAGGCAATAGTTCCTTGAAAAGAGTAACAACAATCATATTCAATATCAAAAGAAAAAGACAAAAGTTGACAAAATTAACTTTATCTTTCACTGGACTCATCTTGATGTAAGAGAAAACTTATAAAAATCATGACTTTTCAGATGAATTTGAACAGTTTGTTCAAAATTTTTTATCGATAAATTTACTAACGATCAAAAAATTTGTGCATAAATACTACATTGTATTGAAATGTTTCTTTGACTAGCGAATATTTAAAAAAAAAACTAATGACATAATTTTCTTTTGAATAGCTTTTGGAAAATTTATATTCAATATATTTAAATATAAAGATTGTTTTTTTTTGGCGATAAATATAAGTCCGAAAATAAAAAAAAAAGAAATACTTCTTCAAG